CCTCACAGCCTTTGACCCTTACTGTTCTACCCAGCTCTTCATTGAAGGGGGCATGCTGTTTCTTTCACACTATTTCTAGCAAAGTGGTGAAAGTGAGACTTTTCACACCTCCTGCCATTTTATCATTTCTTTATTCTGTTCTGCTCTGTCACACAAGACAGTGTAAGTATACCAGATTTGACAGAATTTTTGACATAACAAAAAATAGCATGTAGGCAGGTAAATATTAAAGTTGTACATGAAATATTTCTTTTTCCATCATGCAGGAAAAACATACTTAGATTGAGCACTTCACAAAAAGTACCCTATTTATAACCATTAAATTTTACACACGGGGCTACCCTTGTCTTTTTTGCAAGTTGACTGCAAAGTATACACCCTTCTTTTAGTCTCATCTGATCCCAAGGAGCTGATTTCACTGCAGGATCCATCTCCCTTCTTCCATTAGTACATTTCTCAAAGTCTTAGTATAGAATAATTCTGACTGTTTTCAGCAGGACTCATAACCATTGTCCTTGGGACTTGATTTCCTCAAAACAGATCATGGTGGTCACAGGAACTCAGTGTCCAGTTCCCTGAACATCTGTATAAATGTTTAGTCTTCAGATTCTCCTCTGAATGCTTGTAATTCCAGCGTATCTTTCTTTCTGTCTTTCAGATCTCTCCCGAAGACAGTCATCTTCGTTTTCTATAAGATACATATATTCAAAACCTAGAAAGAGGAAATTAAATTAAATATTTACTCCCAAATGATTAAGACACGCCCCTCTCACAGTAAAGTTAGTGCATTATTATAAAATATATGCTCCTTTTTTTCATATCTTGACAGTTTTTTTTTAATTGCCACACTTTAAGGAAGTTGTTCTATTGTCTTCTGATTTTTATGGTTTATAGTAAGAACTCTGATAATTTTTAATTTTGTTTTTCTTTATCATATCTTTGTTTCCAAGCTACTTTTAAGAGTTTTCTTTGTCACTTCAGCAGTTTGATTATGATTTGCCTTGGAGTGATAGTCTGTATGATTCTTCTGGGTTCATTGAACTTCTTGGATCTGCCAATTATAGGTATCACAAATTTGAAAATGTTGCAGCTATTATTCAGATACTTTTTGTGCCTACCTTTCTGCATCTTCAAATTTAATGCATGTTATATTTTTTGATATTGTTTTATAGGTCACTATTCTTTTCATTTCTCTTTTAGTCTTTAATTTATATACTTCATTTTGGATATTTTCCATTGTTATGTTAAATTCCATGATTTTTATTTTTCAGTGTCTTATTTTCTGTTAATCCCAGATCAGTGTAGCTATATTTTGTATCTTACATATATCTTTTCACTGTGCTTCTGCCTTTTTGAACTGTAGGAAATATTTGATTAGCTATTTCCAAAATATGTCTTTTCTAGGCCCATTTCTTTTGAATAACTTTGCTGTTGTTTATATGTTATATTTTCCTGTTTCTTATAGGCTGGAAAATTTTTGAATAGATGCAAGATAAGTATTTTAAGTATCATAGATAATAGATTTTAGTTTAGTTTTTGGCCTTTTTTTTTTTTTTTAAGATTTACTTATTTATTTATACAAGCACTGGGTACAGTCAGAAGTGTGGGAGGGTGAGAGAATTCGCCAGAGCCAGAGCTGGGAGCAGAACAGGTAGACTGACGAAGTACACTGCTGCGGAGAACAGCGGGCACGGCAGGAGAGATCTGCACGCCGTGTGGGGCCCTTGCCAGTGGCCAGGGATCAAACTGGCACTGCAGAAGCAGCGGGCAGCTTCCCAGCCCAGCGCTCAACCGCTACACCACCGGGAAGGCCCAGTTTCTGGCCTTATTATAAAACATTTGTTTAGAAAAAAAATATTTTAAACTTGTTGTTAAGCTTTGTTAAAATCACCCAGAGTGATTTTTAAGATAATATAATCCCAATACTAATAATCTTTTAAGGACTTTACCCAATGATCTATATGTTACTGGAACCTCCCCCTCGGGATCCCAAGACTGGAGTCTTGGGTGTGCCCTGGGCATTATTTAGCTTTCTCTTTAGTTTTCTTTTTCACCTTCCTTATCCAGCTCAATAGTTTCCTCTCATACACTCACAAGTCAGTGATCAAGCAAAAACTCAAGGAGACCCTTGTGTATGGCTTTGAAGCACCCTTATTCTCTCAGTGAGACTCCCTCCTCTCTAATATTCCTCCCTGACAAATACTAATCTTTTTAAACTTGCCTAAACTTTCATCTCTATCTCCTTAATTTAGTGAGACTATCAGGTCTGTGGGTTTTCCCACCTTGTTCTGTAGGCTGGAAACTGCCATAGGACTCACCTTATTTCTTTCTTTTCTCTTGGGGTTTTCCATCCTATTCTGTGGTTCTTGACCCACTTTTTGAGTCATGAAGAGCAGAAAGATAACATTTACTTCTGTTACTCCATTATGACCAGAAGTGAGATTTTTCAATTTGTCAGAAGTTTAACAAAAAGTTAGTTTTGAGAAGTTCTGAACTGGCACATAAATTAGGAAAACTGTTTTTTCTCGGAATTGGTTCTTAATTTGATCTGAATCAATAAAGACTGGGTGTGTTCTTATGAGGTTTTGTAGAGTTGTGGGGTCCTTGGGTTCACTCTGGGAAAGGTGTCACCAGAGCTTCCGTTTTAGCGGCATGCGGCGACTTTTCCAGGCAAGTTTCTCCATGAGACAGAGATGTTAGTCATATTTAAAGAACAGGTTTATTAGGGAAAGGGAAAGGGACAGGTTTGCTGAGAAAGGCCTACGTGGTTGCAGGCAGTTGGCCTTGAGGAGAGTGGCCTCCGCTGAAGGAGGTCAGTGAAAAGAAATCCCAGCCTAGTACAGGTCAGGGGCAGGCAGGAGGCTGCTGCCTGCAGAGAGAGAGTTGGTGAAAAGAAGCACCTGCATAGTCACAGGTGGGCAGTGGGAGAGCTGCCCTGAGCCTGTGCAGAGACTGCATTGATAGAGTCCCCTTCTGTTTGGGAGGGGTCACTCCTCCGTGGAGTGGCCTGTTTGTTGCTGATTTGGGATAACTCGGAAAAAACCAGGAAGGGATCAGAGATTCCAGTGTGGGCCCAATCTTCGTATCTTTATCCTCAGGTCTGTGCTCCACTCCTTGTAGCATCTGATCCTGCTTGGGTCTCATGCCTGGTGATGCGGCACTGGTGCCTGAGGGTCACGACCTCTACAGCTGGGTTAATGTTCATGTTATTCCCCTATTCCTTGTGTGAGTCAGGTTTTAGTCTTGTGAGGCCTCTTTTCCAGTTTTTCTATTCTTGTCCTCCATCATGTTCTATTTCACAGACATTGAAACTCTCTTAGAGTAAATTATTTTTAGCATTTATAGGCAAGTAGATTTAAATCTGCATCATAAATATTTGTGCAGAATTGATGTCATATCCAAGTGGGTTGTAACGACACCTGTGTGTTTCAGATTTAATTTGAAATAAAAATATAGCCAGAATGTTTCCAGAATACCAGTGGGAAATATCTCTAATTATCTGATATAAATGACATCATTCATATTCATTCATTCACTCATTCAATCAACAAACATTGCGGATGCATAGATGACTAAAGCATGGTTCCTGCTATTTGTGAATATCATAATTTATAATTCCCAAAGGAAATTAATCTACAGGCAGGACAAGGGCTTGCTGCAGAAAACCTTACCATTCAGGGAATAACACGTGTGCTATGTGGCAAGAACATGTATTTCAAAGATGAGTTCTGGGGGAGAGGAGGCTGGGGAGATAGTCAAGGGGCAGATCCTCAAAGTCTGACTGTGTTTTCCTATGGCCTTTGGAAGAAAATAGGAAGTATTGACATTTTCTTCAATAAAATAAGGAGACAGTGAGTGATCTGTGTTTTAGAAAGCTGATTCTGTTACTTCAGTGGAATAGTGAAGAATACAATGGATGAAAGTAAAACTGGAAGCAAGGAAACCAATTTGGAAGCTAAACTGATTCAGTAATCCAGAAATAAATGAGGAAGAACTACACTGAGGGAGTAGTGGAAGGATTGGATTAAAGGAATAAGGCAAGCAATAAGGGAAGTATTTAGAAGATAAAACAAAACAACTTGGGTCTGATTGGATAAGAATAGTGAAGAAGAGGATTTTGTCTAAAATGATTTCCAATTTTTTAACTTGTTGGACTAACTGTGTTCATTGAGAGCTGTGAACCCCATCAGGGTTTCCCTACCCCAAAGAGAACTCAAAACAACCTGTAAGGATGCAAGGGGAAAAAAGTATAATTCCATGTATAGTATAACATGTTTCTCAAATTGTCGTTTCTCTTTGTATGTGTCTTACGAAAAAGACAGACAATAATCTAATTCAATAGTGCATGTGTAATTTATTTAAGAAGTGAATATAAATATATTGTAAGATGTGCTCAAACATTTTATTAATCAGGGTAGCAAGACTGAAAAACTTAGAAACATCAAAGGAAGAATAAATTTGGTTTTATGGAGAATTTAGAACCTGTGGAACATTAGGCAGTAATATCTAGTAGGCAGTAAGGCTCTTGATCAGACAAGACTGTCCAATAGAACTTTAAGTGGTGATGGAGATGTTCTAAATGTGTACTTTCCAGTACAGTAGCCAATAGTCTCATGTGGCTGTTGAGCACTTGAAATATGTCTAGTGCAACTAAGGAAGATTTTCATTTTAATTACAAGTTATTTAAGCTTAAATAGCCGCATGTAGTTAATAGCTATCATATTGGAAAGCACAGTTCTAAAATTTAGGAGAACAAGGCTCTCATTTTTGAATGCTTCTACTACCTAAGACTCTTATATACATTTTAAAGTAATTTATTCATCCCAGTTACCCTATAGAGAGTATTGTAAAAGAGACAAGTGAAATTCTCCCTCACTCTATCCTTTTAATGATACAAGTTTTTATTACAGACAAAAGTATATTTGCTCTGAAATATGTATACTTTGTTAGATATTAATTCATCTTTTACAACCCAGTAACAATTTTGTATTTTTTTGCAGGTGGTTTGCTCTGTTAGAGATTCAAATATTTATTATTTTAATATTTTATAAATATGATTGTAGACTTCTAGACCCATTGCCAAAACAGGTAAGCGTTTTCAGAATTTCGAATAGCCTGACTTTAAAATTTGACAAAGTTCCTGGTCCCTTGGTTTTAATTACTAAAGATGAACTGCTGATCTCCTCACTTAGGCCTGATCTTAGCAGTTACCTAATGATGAACCAGCCTGAAAGGATATTCCCCTTAATTCCAGATTTAATTTTTGTGCCCCTTTACCCTAAGACCAGACCTTCTAGCAGTGTTTCCACCACTTACGGTAAAGAACGCTCCTAACCAATTTACCAATTTTGACTTTGTTCCCTTGGCTAAATGAATATGGCCTTGATGTTAGGCTTCCCTAGAAAGAAGAATAGTGAAGAAGAAATTTGAACCACCATGTATATGGGTCCAAATCTGAACCATCCATTTTGGAGACAAGTCGCAGCTCTTGGCACATCTGGGAAACAATATCATGGAAGAAAATAGTATAAAGGCTGAGCAAAAATGAAAAGTCCTTGACCCTATTCATACCTCCACCCTTTCACTATTCCAATCATTTTCCCCCTCTGTATTTCTGTTTTCCAAGACCAGTGCCTCTGAAAGTAGTATAAACATTAGAATCACCTGCAGGGAGGGGTGTTGTGACCATACAGAATACTGATCCCCACCCTTAGAGTTTTTGATTCAGAAAGTCTGGGGAAGGAATCAAGAATCTGCATTTCTCCTAAGTTCAGGGAGCTGCCAGTGCTGCTGGTCTGTATAACAAACTTTGAGAACCACTGTCCTGGGAAATAAGGGAAAGTTTGAGTTAATTTCAAATGTTTGGACATAATTTTAAAAACTCTAAATAGAAGGTCCTATTTAAACTAAGGGTGAAGCTCAGAAATTAAACCTCGCAATCTCAGGGCTATTCACATAACATTTTGTGCTTTGATTTACTCGATATAATAAGGCTAATGTATGGAGGGATAAATAAAACTCTTGGGTGACATTTCAATAGGAATTATGTAAGCATGTAAGTGGCACAGACAATCTTATATTACTGACAAATATGCACATTTCAGCACTTTCCCTTAATTTATTTTGCAGTTCTATTTTGAGTTCAAGTAACAGTGAAGATAAGAGCCCTCAAAATCCTACCATGAAGGAGAAATCAAATCACCCTTTACCCAGGTTCTCAGGAAGTATATAGCTTTGCTCTCCAGATGAAAGTCCAGCTTTCCACTCACCAAATACTGGTTCCTAGTCCACCAAGTTAAATATCACTATTTGTCCAGGAAAGATTCAGCATCCAATTACTTTTCTGCCAGCAAGAGGACACTAGAATGCCTTTTCAGATTACAAGGATGACATTTGTCAAAGCCATATAGTATCTAACCATAGAGATCAATAATTTTGACCACTTCCTTATGCAACATTTTCCCCAGTAGTTTCTTCCTAGGTAAGGATCTTATTAGCTGCATTATTATATTGCCTACATATACCCTATTTCTGTTTTCATACTACTAAGGTAAGAACATTTCTTAAAGAAATATTATATCAGTTGACAAAAGGTACAGGTCTAAATAAATTCTCATGATCACAAAAAGCATTTCATTTCACAATTCTTAAAAGAGAAAGATCATTTAAAATTAATTATTAGACTTGTTTTAATAAGTTGTAGAATGAGGTTATCAAAAAATACAGAAAATAAACTAAAAATTACCCAGCTGTTATAGGAGATGGGTTACCTGGTTGTATTCTGAACACTCTTTTCAAGTGCAGGGACATCACTCGATTTGGAAATCAGGTCTCGCTGGTGAATGCACCTGTCCAAGTAGCAAAATCAATGACCAGAATCCCCAGTTTTAATTTTGCAACAACCCAATGTTTTCTTTTACCTCAAAGGAATTTTTAAGGAATTAATTTAATTTCAGTTTTCTCCTATAAAGAACCTAACACTAAGTAAATGCTACAAAGTTTTCTAGCATCTGTGACTGAACAACTGTGTCCAGATGCTTATACAGGAGCAATTCCATTCAGAGCATTCGTAAACAGACCCACTTTAATGCTCTTGCAAAAGCAATCTCACTTTTGCCAGCACAGTGAGATTTTGTTTGTTTAGTTGGTTGGATTTTTTTGTTTTACATTTTGTGGGCATCAGGGATTCTTAGAAAATTTCACAAAATCTGTGGATCACCTTTTTAGAAGGGTGATGCTTTCTTTTCATACTCACAAAAGTATAGGTTCAATTTCAGAGTCCATGGAAACCCTGTAGTTCTTTCTAGCCACTCCCCTAATAATCTACTCACTAGGGAGCCCGTTCTATGTCCTTTGCATCCTAACCTGACAATAGACTGATGATCTAATTTGGACTGACCCCCACTTTCCTTGCTAGTCATCTCCTCCCAACCCTCAGGTTGACAGAAGAGGTTGCTTTTCACATTCCTAAGCCTCAAAAAACTCTTGTGTGTTATTTGAAATAAACTGACCTTCCCTCACCCACACACTCCTTCACCCTTTCTTCCTATCAGAACACAAAATACTCTCTTGAAAAATTGTGGTCTTAGATACTCTGTAATAGTGGTTATACCGCCAACACCATGTTGTTTTGTAAACATCCCTAACATGTAGCACAGAGGTCTTACCCAGTGATTATAAATGAGATGTCACAGTTTGGGGGCCAGAAATGTAGAAAGAACCCTATTTATGCTATCCTCCTTAGCCAGACAAACTGAAGGGTGGGTGGCAATGGCCTTGGGATATATGAAATTGTGAAGAGATTGCAATTAGAATAAGGGATCTGCTTTTCTGCCCCTTGAAGACTAAGGCAATGCTTAACATTGTGAACCTCATCAAACAAATGCTTCCAAACTTTCAAACCAAACTCAGTAACTTTTAGAGGAGATTACAATTGAATAAACCTTAAGTTGAAACTGGCGGCTTTTTTCTCTGAATCTAGAGTTCTCTCCATTTGGTGGGAGTACAGCAGCCAGAAGGACCATGCCGTATTGAATTTAAAAGGAGAAAATAATGTCTACGTGGGCCTACGAGGACCAGACTTCTGGAGAAGCAACATCTGCTAGCTGGGCACCCACTACTCAGCATCTCAATCTGAGTGAGCGCCACTAAAACATGCTGCTTAACTTTATTTTAGGATTTAGTTCAAGAAAATGACCAAATGGTATGTGTATATTTGGCATCTCAAGAGTAGACCAAGAATCTGACATCATTCTCAGTGACATAAAGACCCAAACACAGGGTTTATAGAAGATGTTAACTGATTAAAAAAAAAAAGAGAGAGATTTCCTCAGAAATTGGAATCTGGTTTTATGTATCACTGTATTAAAGCTTTAACTTTCTATTTTGGAAAAGGCTAAAAATCTTAGACTCCAAAAAAATTTAAATAATTATTTATGAAAATTTCTGTTTTTTCTTAGTATGATTTTTAACTAGCAACTGGAATTTGTAAGCTCTTTTAATATAATTATTTCTTATAAACACATCTAATGCCAAAAGTATGATAGCTTTCTAAGACCTGTCAAGACAAAGATCATGTCTTATATTCACTTACATACTCAACTGCCTCAGGACAGCACCTTCTCTATAAAATATATTCAATAAATGTAATTGATTGATTTATGTTTTAATTAAAGTGAAAACACCCTTTTGAATCAAGGTGTTTATAATGATAGTTTAAGAGAAAATATTTTTGCTAATTATAGAAACACAAATAAAATGGTATGTCAAGGCAAGTAACATCTGAATCCGTTACTTAAGACTTGCGCCTGAAATATTTGCTGTGAAATCCAGACAAGAAATCCTATCATCTTCAGAGGAAACACATGACCCTAATAATAGTCATCAGTGATGTCATGATTTGTCCTCCAATTGTCAATAAAATGCTACTTGTTTCATTTATATCACAGTAAGGAAGTTTTGTAGTACACACTGTCCTCTGGATTATTTGTTCCCCTGTGCTAGAATTATCCCGTGGGGTTGATAATGATTGCTTAGTCATCTATTTCCTATCAAAGAGCAGATGACTCTCTAGGAGAAAATTAAGTACTTTGGAGTGCATTAGCTCTTCCAGACTAATACAGTGGTTTGCCAGCTTAGCTAGCAATTCATAGCTTAGATTAGCAGTCTTTTGGGTCTGGAGACAGAAGGGGCTGAAGAAAGCAGCTTACAAGTCCATAGCGGACTTGAAAATTGCATACCACACCCTGGGAGGTTCTGCAAGTATGGCAAGTGGGTTCTCAAGGAGGGCAGGTCCTCTCAAGCAGTTGAAGCCCACAAAGAAACATATAATATCCTCGTCAACTAAACTTGCAGCCACTGAAGGCTAATGTTTGTCTCCTTTTCCTTGTTTAGTAAAGATGAATGTTAGCTGACAAGCTTATGCACTTGAAAAAGATGGTAGAATAAAGAATGGTAAGAGAAATAGACTTGGAGGTCCCATATTTTTCTTCCTAGCCTGAGATTTTATATTTATATTTATTTTTATATATCTATAACATAAACCTCTCTATTTATATGTGTTAACATGGGTTATCTGAAAAGAGAGCCTCAGACAAGGAGTTGTGTGCAGAGAGTTTTAGTTGAGAGGTGCTCTCATGCAGCAGAAGTAAGCCATGAGGAAGAATATGCCAATATTAGGGTTAGTTACCAAGGTAGGTGTTGTAGCCTTGGCAGCTTCATTTCATAGACCACCTGAGAAACATATGCACCTCCCTCCCAGTATTGTCCCCCTAAAAGACAAGAGGTAGGAATAATTATCAACTTGGCTTTGTTCTCCATTGATTAATGATGACACCCCACGACATTAGCCCTGCACTTCCCAGCAGCATTCATGTAGGGGAGAACCTAACTGGTTGTGTTAGGGGTCTGAGCACTAAAAGGTCTGAGCTTGCACAGAACTCTTCACCTGAAATCAGAGTTGGCCCAAGGGTATGTGGGGAGGGGGGGGCGGCAGCAGCGACATCTGATATTCTCCTTCCTTGCACCCCTCAGACCACAATAAACTAAATCCATCACCTAGTCTTCAAAGTGGTGGCTGGCCGCAATCTCTACTAAACACCTAAGGCACAAGGATTAATTTAAGAAGCTGCAGCTCCCACTATTGCATCTGGATATGTATGAAGTCTTAGTGACTATTCATCTCACTCCACCACATATTCTAGATTTCTCTCCCCTTGATACAACATTCAAACTGATCTGGGCTGCTTGCCTGGTGAAATGAACCAGATCTGATCCCTGAGGGATCTGTGCCCATAGTAGCTTTGCTTTTGTCAAACTGTGATCACTATTCACATTATTACCGGGTATGAAGGCAACAAGAGGTGTCACATGAATCAGCTAGGTCTCAGATTACCGCTGTCTCCTTCCCTTCTCTAGCAGCAGTCTTGTGTTGATAACTACCAAATGGGTATTTCCCTTCCCTGACTCCGGGTCTAGCATTATGAAGAGTCCCAACATGTCCCAAAGGGACAGGTGTATCATCAGTTTCACTAGAAATCTTACTCAGTCACTTGGTGGAAGCATCCTCTTCCCCTCTGGAAACAAAAGCCTCTCATATAGCAAAGCCTAGACTTTCAGGGAAAGGACACACACATTGTTCAAGTGGTGCTCTGTCAGTAATTGTGGAAAAGGTCAGTCCTATTTCAACCCCTGTGTTCCCAGACCCATGTCTTCCAGTTACTGGGAGCATTTCTAGCTACTGAGCATAATGCTGGCCATTGGGTTAGATGGATTGCATCATATGATGCACTGGATACTTAGTGCAACCTGGGAATAGAATCCAAACCCACAGTGATGTCATCCCTAAGAGAGCACCTTAGTGGCTTCCAGACAATGTGCTAGTATCAATGAATCTCATATTCATGGCCATTATTGAACTTCTTTTGCCTCAGCATGCCTGTGTCCTGGAGTGAAGTTAAAAAGACCCAATGTCAGTTAACAACAGGCATTTTTTGAATCCTCCGGTGATGCTGTTGTGTATTTTTTGCAATTAGGCCCAATATTTTATGCTGCCTGGGCATCTGAAACCAAGTGGACTTCAAAGGTGGATCTCTAAGCGCAAGCTCCCCTCCCCAATCTGCTCCCACCGAGAAGCAGATTGGACAAGTAATCCTCCCCGTCAAGGGGACATGATACAGTGTCTATTTGAATGTCCCTCTGAATGTCAGGCACATCCCCACATTTCTCTGTGCTTGACAGTTGCATGTGACCAATTTGGGCCAAGGGGCTATAAGTAGAAATGATGAGTGTGAATTCCAAGTTGAAACAAGGACATAGGAAAGGATAAAAATTGTCTTTATTCCCCTCTTCCTCTGGTGGCATGATGGGGGAACTGTGCAGCAACGAGAAGGCAGAGCCTCCATCTGTCTGAGTCCCTAAGTGTCAGTGAGAAGGAAAGAGTCCTTCCCCACAATCTGCACTGGACACATGGTGTGAGCAGAAGACACTGATGTTTGCTGCCCCAGCATAAACTAGCCTTCCCGAACAATCTCAGAAACAAAACTCTTGAGTTCCTGTTCTGTTTTATGCCTTTGACCCTCTATTCTATGATTTATTTTAGAGGAATATGCAGTTCCACTTGCTGCATACCCGTGCAAGAGTGGCAACATTACACTAAAATGACTTCATAGGTATTCTATGCAATACTGTCTTTTAAAGGCATAATATTGAAGTTAAAATTATATTGTAGCTGTTGTGCTTTATTTTCTGAGTTGTCAATTGGTTATAAAGTTGAAAAAGATTCTCACACAAAATAATTTCTAAGTGAGTCACTTGAAGGTTATTAACCCACTTAAGAGCCATTGAACAAAAAAATGTATTTATTGATGATCCAATGTAGTAGACACTGTCCTTGTCATTATAGGTAGGGCATAGAAGATCAGAATAGCAGGTCGATAGCCAATTACTTACATTTAAAATCCAGCTCTGTCACTTTTTGTTATGTGACCTTTGCAGATTATTTCCCTCACTAAGCCTAGGGACTCCAATGAGACTAATAAGGCACACTCTTTAGGGTTGCTATGGCTTGAATTATTGCCTTAACATGAAACCTAGCCATTGTAAGTGTAAAACGGGTATTAGGTAATTTTATTGATCAGGTGGCTTTAACCAGATATATCAAGATTGAAAATTTTCTTTTTGTTTTATCAAAAAGTATCTTGCTAGATAGGTCACTGATCAACTCCAGTTCCTTTGGAAGAACTGGAAGCTCCTTAGCTTGGTAGAATACACTGCACAATTAAAGACCTTTTCCTGAATGACAGTCAATAATAGTATTTCAGATAGCTTTCTCTTCACTTACTCACCTTAATGTTAAGTAAGTGCATCCAAAAGCATTGAAAGTGATTCCTTTTTTTCCTCTCAATCTGTTAACTGGCCAGTGTGTATTTTATTAATCTGAGTCACAGATTGCATAAAATATTTACCATCATGTCTAATGTAATATTCCTTATTTTTTCATTATTATATGAGGCAATATATGGCAGAACTAGTTTAAAAGAAATTATTTTCTTCTCCTTTTAAAAGTAAATAAAATAATACAAAATAGTAAATCCAAAACTCTCTATGGTTGGCTATAGGAGATAGGAAGGCAGCTGCTGTATAACAGAAAAATGATGGCTGCATTGTGGAAAGAAGCAAGTTCAAATTATAGTGTGGCCCTTTGACTTCAAATGATAATGAGTCAATCAGTTCAATTCTCTGAGCCTCAGTTTCTTTACATGTTAAATGGGCATAATATCTAAATGGGTTTTCTTTAATTTCTCATAGTTATTTTTATTTTTTCAAAGATTTATTTATGCATACAAGAGCTGGGGTACAGGCCAGATGTGTAGGGGATGAGAGGATTCACCGGAGACAGAGTGGGGAGCAGAACAGGTAGACTGACTGAAATACACTGCTGAGGGGAGCAGCGGACAAGACAGGAGAGGTCTGCTGCGCTATGTGGGTAGCTCCCTGGCTGGCCGGGGATTGAACTCGTGCTGCAGAGGCTGCAGATTGCTTCATAATGCTGTGCTTAACCCCTTGCACCACCAGGGAGGCCCTAAATTTATTTTTACTTAGCACCTCCACATATATTTGATTGCATGATTTCAAATAAATATTTTTAATTATTGAAATAAATATATGAGTCTAAGTTCATTGTATCTCAAAAGGCTGTGTGCGGAACAACTGGATATTCACATGCAAAAGAATGAAAGTGAACTGCTACCTCACAACATGTATAAAACTAATCTAAAAATGGGGCTCTGTGGTATGGGATGAAGCTTGGAGAAGAGCAAAGTGAGGTTCTCCCTAACTGGAAAGAGCTTACACTAGATTGGCAAGGGGAGCTGAGCCCTGGAGCTGAATCCTGAAGAGTGGGAGGGTGCTGTGAAGTCAGGGAACCCAGGTAGAAAGGCACACAGGCTCTGGGTGCCAACCTTGCTGGTGAGTCATAGAATCTTCAAGAAGTCTGGGACTTCCGTGGGTGGAAGTGATATAAGAAGCAGACTTGAAATACTGGTGACTAGGGGCGCTTCTTTTTTTTTTTTTTTTTTGCACCAGGTAATATCCTTGATTCTACTGTTAAGGAGCCCCAGAATTCATTATTTACATAGAATTTACTCCTGGTCCAAAAATACAGGACTTCAGAATCGCTATTGTGATGCCTTACAGGCTATCTATGAAGTTGTTTCTTTGCACATCTGCCTTGTGTTCTTAGTCATGCATACTCCATTGCTTATTTTTCATGATATTTAAAAAAGCTTTATTGAGATACAGTGGACATACTGTACTTAAGTGTAGGACTCAGTGGCTCTTAGTATATTCAGAGTGGTGCAGCCATCACCACAGTCAATTTAAAACATTGTATTGCCTCCAAAATGAATCCTATTCCCCTTCGTTATGACTTGCTCAGTCAT